AATGTAATATTTACAAATTACCTGCTACTGTATATGCCGAAAAATGACAATGAAACCTTAATTAATGTTGTTGTGAGAATTTAAGTTTAATAATGGAGAGGTATTTAAATCTAATTGATCGTTAAGCAATACATTTGAATGTCGCATTTTGTTAATCTCCATGGCTTCCAATAGATTTAATTTTCTACTTTTTGTGGCTGTATGTAAAATATCAAAATTGTCGTCAAAAATGTGTTTTTTGTGTTTAAGTGTGTAGCATAATTAGAATCAAGACTATTGTTTTTAAACGCTCTTTTATGATCTATCTGTTTGTCCAATATTAATTTTAGGACAAGATCCGCATTTTAACCTGTAGACAATTGATTTTTGAGATTTTGGACATTTCGTCTTATTGTTTTTTAAAAATTTTCCTATTGTGTTGTTAGTTCTGAAAGCTATTTTTAAACCACTTTTTGACAAATGTTTTGAAACTTTTTCACCGGGTATGTAATTGTTTTAAAGTGGATTATTTGTTTTGTTTTTTATTTATAATTTTATCTAAAATGAACGGATTGTAGCCGTTGTTGAGTGCAATTTGTTTAATGATATTAAGTTCTTTGTTGTAATTTTCTGTTCAGACTGGCCTACTAAGAAGTTGGTGTATAAAAGCGTGTGTATAAGGGTGATTTGAGTTGTTATGTATTACTGTATCCGTGTGTGAAGGTTTATGATAAATGGAAAAATCTAATTTGTTTTGCGTATTCTTAATAGTTCAGTCTAAAAAATTGATAGAGTTATCCTGGTCAATCTCGATAGTCAATTTTATACGATTATGTAATAAGTTGATGTAATTCAAACAAGAATTCAATTGTCTGTTCATTTCAACAAAGCAAGCAGACATCACCACGTATTTATACCAGCATAGAAAACTTTTACTTAAAGGATGTTCTAGTATGATATTTTCCAAATTATCCATAAGAATCTCGCCTAACAAAGGACTAGGCGGGTTTCCCATAATCAAGCCTTCTTTAGAGATGTAAATCTGTCCATCAAATTCAAAATAATTTTGGTATAAAGTTATTATTAAGCAATCTAATAAATCTTGTTTCACCAACGGGTTAACCTGTTTCCGAGTTAGGAAATCTACTAAATCTATCACATCCAAAGGTGAAATACTGGGAAATAAGTTTTGTACATCACAAAACAATAGTGTTGCGTTAGAAGGGATTTTGATAGCTTTAATTTTGTTGACTAATTGAAAAAAAAAATATTTCAAATTTTGGTTTAAAATCTGTGTGGCACTTTCAATTATTTACTAATTTTGCTGAGAGTTTAACTGCTGGAGCTGTTACATAAGACACGACTGGTCTAATGGGCATATCTTGTTTATGTAATTTAACTAAAGATTAAAATTTCAGCGGTTGTGGATTCATAATTGTTAAAAAATATTTGTCTTTGTCGCTAAATAGTGTGAAGTTAGTAATTACTTCCTTGACTTGTCTTTGATGTAACTCGGTAGGATCGTGTTTGATACATTGGAAAAGTTCTGGTTTAAGAAAATTGTTGATTTTTAAAATATATTCTGGGAGATCGATGGCTATGACTATCTTCCCTTTATCTGCATGTGTAAATATTATGTTATTTTCGGAAGCTTTGTTTTTGATTGTTTTTACTAGTCACATTTTAGAAATTTCTTTGTGTTTCTTGTTATCTATTAATTGGGAGTTTATTATATTCGCTAATACATGTTTGTTTAAGTTAGAATCGTTAATGTCCTTAAACATTCTCTATTAATGTACGAGTGTTGCAATTTAAAGTTGAAACCTTTTTCCAGAAGTTCAACTTCATTTTTAGAAAATGTTGTGTCTATGAACCTGTAAAATTGGTGGTCAGTATACTTTGTAATAACTGGCTTGCTGTTAGATATTTTTGTATTAGAAATTAATTTGTATAACTTTAGTTTTTGTGTAAGAAACTTTTTATGAATTACCTTTAGATAAATGTTGTTTGTTTCCCGTTTTCTGTACTCGTGTCTTCGTTCTTCCTTCATCCATTTCGTCTGGCCTTAGATCTGGGCTTTCCTTGCAGCGGGACTTCTGTTGTTTTTTTTTTAATTTTATAAACTTCGGAAAAACCTTATTTTGTAGACATTTCTTAAAAAACCAAATGTTTTTGGAACATATTCGGCAAGGTAGAAGCAATTTGAAATACCAAATAGCCAAGAAACCAATTTCAGGTTCTTTCAAAAATTGAACTGAGGTGCCTTTTACTTGATGAAAATCCATTTATCAAAATAAATAAGAACTAAAAGTTCAGATTTTCACGAAATTATATATATTTACATTTCGACAACACCGTGTCTTTATCAAATGTAACATTTACAAACTACCTGCTACTGTATATACCGACAAATGACAATAAAACTTTAATTAAAATGTTCTAGGTAGACTGCCCTCTAGTGACAGATTTCTGAAACACTTTTTGAGCAGCTATAACTCTGAAAATATTACGATTTCGAATTTTTGTTACAAGACTTACTATCATTATTTTATCACGTTGAATTTTTCCTCAGAGTTTCCGGGCTCATTACTACAACACAACAAGTTACAACACCCAAATCATAATACGTCATAGGAAACAAAAAACAAAAAACACAAGTTGGCCGTTTGGGGATTCCCCTTGCTGTTGTAGGCAGTGCGCGGTTGCCAGAGTTGCTTTTGACACCTTTTTCTAAATTGGTAATTGATTTCGGATTTGTATTAGACACGAAAATCAATAATACCTTGTTACTTTCGAAAAATCGATGAAATCGGATTTTTCGAATTTTTGGCAACGAAACTAATATCTCGGTAACGGTAGGTCCTTAGGGGACCGCCATTGGTACAGAAATAACCAGCGTCGAAAAAAAAACTTTTTTTTCTGTTCTCTCTCCGTTATCCGTTCGAAAAAAAACTTTTTTTTTCTGATCTCTCTCCGTTATCCGTTCTCCGTTTCTCTGTAGACCTGGCATTAATTGGCTATATATTTTGAAGGGTTTGCAACATGGCCTTCAAATTTCGCTCCTTTTAAGCCGTGCACGAGCTACACAAACCAGTAAAAAATAAGTTTGATGAAACCAAGGTATCCCTCTTTTTTTTAGATTTTAGAAACACGATAAGTGTCCCAAATTTGAGCCATCCACTTGAAATTTGACAAATGTATAGAACTTAGCTCCGTAACGAAACCTATTGAAACTGGGGGAGCTGGGGGGTCGGGTACAAGGTGTTCTGTGCTATATTCTAATACGTCATAGGTGTCTCAAATATGTAGTCATCGACTTCAAATTCGGCAAGGAAGTAAAAGTCTGTAAGCACATCTAAACAGTAGAAATTGAACTTAGTGAATTGTCACCAAATATTTTTTTAAAAAATTTGAAAAATTTTCTTTGCTTAATTTGTCTTCCAGAGAAACATGATTTTCTCAAAAACTATTCAACCGATCGGCAAAATTTTAGAGCCAGATTATATACAGGGTTTTTCAATTGTGGACAAAAATCTAAAAGGCCGTGAAGAAAGTTGTACTTTGTTGGAATCAATTATTAACCGCAAATCAAAATTCGTAAAACATATGGCCAATCGGTTCAAAAAGTGTTACAGGTCGTATCAAGAGTAACAATTTTTATATTTACGGTTTTCGTCTATCACATACGCTGTTCGAGATATCTAGACGCGATGACGTCATTTACTATTACCACGTACTGCATGGTTTCAGAAAACAAGTATTTTCTTGAAAACCACTTACTCCATTGAAAAAAAAATCAAATACCAGTTAACGTGGGAGATCCAGCGCTATAACATCTATTTGGAACATTGTTTGAATCATATAGAGGGTGTGTCGTTTATGGGCAAAAATATCAAAAACATCCTAAAAATTTCCGTTTTTGTTGGTAAATTATGGGGGATAATTGAATGATTGAATTGATTGATTTGAACGGTATCGTAAACTGTGTCGAGAGTTTCAGGTTTCGTCAATTATACAGGGCGCCCGAGATATTTGAAAACATATCATTGGATAACGTTATTATTTGTACAAATTTGAATATTTGAAACTGCTGAAGTTCAGCGATGCTTGAAACACACCTTATTCAGCATGTATATACAATAAAATTTATCGATTTTGAGAAAGTTCCATAGTAGTCCGCAGGAGCACCATACAAAAACATTGCGTCCTTTTACCACAAGAAATCGTGAAGCTCTTTCTTTTTAAAATAAAAGGCTGATTCGTGCTATGCGCTACAAACTTGCCCCGCCCAGCGACGATTTTTCGAAAGCAATTTTTTTATTACGATTTTAATTTTTTTTTTTAATTTTAAAGAAAAAACACCCAACCTTCCCAAGAGAGATTTTTTGGGTAAATTTACAGCTTTTATAATTACTATGTCGGGATTAAATTTTACAGATTTTGGAATTATACGTTCAGGGTTTGGAACATTAGATTTAGTAGGTTTGGATTTTTTAAAGATTTATTGGCTTTGTGAGACAGACTGGACATTTGAAATGGTTTCCTTTTTTGGGATGATACGTGGTGCAAAAACCGATTTTTCAGTCTCAGAAAGTTGGTGCGACTATACACTGACCAAGGCGTTTGGTGTTTGAGAAGAGTTTTGATGGTTTCACGTGAGCTGAGACTAGTTCCTCAAATTTTCAAATGTGATTCAGGATAAACATAGATTTTCAGCCTCTTATTTGAAGGGGTTGGAGACAAGGTGTTCAGGCAGAAGAGTCTTATTGATTTGGTCCATTTCTTAATAAAAAAATCTGTGTGCAGAGTAATTTTAACAGTCTCAGTCGGTGATTTTCTAACTTTCCGCTGTTGGTTGTTTGATGAATCTAACTCGCTGACGTTGGCTTCTTCAGAAGAAAGCTTGCGGAAGTTTTTTTTTTTGAATTTCATGTCAAAAATGAAAACGGCGTTCACTGCCACTAATTTCAGAGCGTCCTGTATAGGATAAGGGAAAAACTTCGTAATCGTAACCTCGCGTATCCGTTTATTTACTATCTACACACGCGGCCAACCTGGATTATACCGAACGTTATCAACAACACGAAACATCGACAACAAATATTCCGATATATCATCCCGCAACGTTCATTTCTCGTTGTTATTCTTGCGCGCCTCGTCCTCTTTTTCGTTTTCTTCTTCGTTCTTCACGCGACCTCCGTGCCCGATATCGATAAACATGCAATTTCTCCTGAACGGCAGGTGATTATTGGGGGCGATCATCAATAAGTTGTTGCCGTTCCTGTCGCATAGGGGGAGCGGCTGGGACGGCAGGTGATTCCTGCGCATGCGAACCCTGTTCCGTATGACAGAACTGGCGGAAATGATGCCATGATGGCGGCCGCTCTCGCACTTGATGTTCACTTGAATCGGGCAGCTGTTCGAGCGTTGCCAATCGAGAACGCTGGTCAGCAATCTGATGTACCTAAAACGTCTGCTATTAACCCATAAAGATATTAAAGCTATTAAAAATATACAGTAGAGCTTCGCTAATCCGAACGTCACCAATCCGGATTCTCCAGTAATCCGTATAAAATTTAAATATTATATATTACGGTTAAGTCAATTATCGACATTGAAACAATAAGAAAGCATGCTTCTTGATGGATAGGAAAAAAGCATTTCGCAAAGTCCCAAGGGAAGAAATTGAAGTAATAAATAAATACATGAATATAAAGGCACAAACAATTGTGTAATAAGAAACAACACGAAATCAGAATCGTTTAAGACAAAAAAGGGAATAAGACAAAGTGGAGGCCCATAGTCTACTGTTATTTATCATATCTACTGACGAGATCATCAGAAGAAGTAGTAAACAATCAAAACCGTTGTACATGGGCACAGAAATTTACAACCAGTGTTGACAGATAGATAGATATGGTGATAGCGGACAGAATTTAGAGGACAATCTGGAAGTATGGAACGAGGAAATGAAAAAGAAAGTGCATGAAACTACATAAGGCTAAGAGAAAGGTAAATAGATATGGTCATGATAATAGAAGTCGAACAGTATTTACAGTAACTTCTGTAGTACTGACACATGGGTGCCAACCCTGGTGTGGTCTGTTCATAGATATAAGAAAGTAACCAATTGCTTTTACCATACAATGCAGCAAGATTATTACCTAAAGTTTCGGAATTTAAATTCAGGTAAAATTGTGGTCGATAATAGAAAATAATTTTATACCTACCTGTGTTTAATATTCTTTGGTTACTTAGTTTAAGTTTATTAGTAATCATTCTTATTTCGTGTGTAATACAGCGCGCGTTGAATCGTGTGCGAATTATGCAAAATATGTGCGAGTCCAGTGTATCTCAGGAGATGCTCGCTCCCAAATGTAGAAAACACTATTCTAGTGAGACCAAAGAAGTTATAAACAATGTTTACTTGACTCTCATTGAACGTGGTGCCAGCAAGCAAGCATGTTTAGAAGAAACGGCCACATTGACGAGAATTCAACATGCCCAAGACCGCCCTTCTCTTCTCACCTGTTGTTGTTTTTTCGTAGTGCTGTGGTATCATCAGCAAAGATAACCACTTTAGTTCAGACTCCCAGATAGTTTACCCCAGAGTTCGATCAGCCAAATAAGTGCAAACAAGCTTGATAGGTTATTAATGAAACCCATAGTGTCTTAGCCTAGGAAAAGAATGTGATGACTTTCATAATCGAAGAAGGGCTTGAAGAGACCGCAGTATGTGACTCATAGATAACTTTTGAAACTCTGGACAATGAACCCCAAGGTTAAAAATAGCAAAAGCACTCTATTTTGTTTTTTAATACTCTAGTGCGCGATGGACCGGCGAATCCGCCAAAAATTATATATACGGGAGCAAACCTTATCGCCATCCGTAGAATCTCGTTTTTCGATAGCTTTTTATCAGGGGGATGAGTCGGCACCAGTTTGCGTAGCTCAGCGAACGCTCCGCTGACATTTTGTTGTCGCCACCTTTCCCTGCTGTTAGTGAATATTTTCTTCACGAATCCCCTGTTCGGAACTTCTCTGGGACTCTGTCGAAGATAAACTTTTAAATAATAACGTGCAAAAAGAATCCCTTGCAGCGCAATTAAATAAATTTTCAATATGAAGTGGTGTAATTAAAGAAAAATAAATACTTAAATTTACTCAAATGTACGTCCGTTTATCTTCAGTTAAAAATAAAAGTGATATACTTATTTACTGAGTGTGTTTATCGTAAATATTTCAACCATTTAAGCCAAAATATGACTTTTAAAGTCATATACGGGATTATCAAAGTTGAATACATAGGGTGTCGTAGAATCCGTGGCTCAAAATAAGCCCTAAAAGGAATGGATTTGAAAATGGTTTTTTATCAATATTTTTGAAACAGTTTGAGAGAAAGACTTGACATTGTAGCGAAAATGAATTTTAAAAATAGAGTATTTTGATAAAAAATAAAATATCATTGACTAGCAAGTTTAATTCATAACTCAGCGTTGACCGGCTAACCATCAAAATCATCAATTTACATCAACTTCTCAAATCTTATTCTAATTTCTAGAATCTCGTCTCGATTGTTCCTAATTTGATTTCCAGCAGCATTTATTCGTAGTAACCCTTCTGATAATAATCTAGCTATTTTAAGTCAGGCGACCGAGTTGGCCACTTCAACCTATCCACTTTTGCTGTCTATATGGGCTATATCGTCATGTAAAAGAAAATTACATTTAAAACACGGATTTTAAATTATTGCCAACTTTCAATAATAGGGGACCTATTTTTCAGTTTTTTTGAATTTGCGCCGCACCCTGTATATTTTTGAAAAATTATCAAGAATAAAAGTTTATGGAGCCGTATCCTCTGCGTCTTCTGGTTCAAGACTTTTTTGGTCTTGTAAACGGTTTTTGAAAAATGATCTTTTTTGTAGAACCTTGCACACGCGATTTTTAAATCTTTGAAAATACTTTCCGACCCCCCGGCCCCCCATTTTTAATAGGTTCCGTCATAGGTCAAAGCGGCATATATGTGCCAAATATGAAGTTGATTGCTTCAAATTTCGGACACTTATCGTCAGTCGAAAATCGCAAAAAAAAGATGGCTGCCGGCGTCAGATCGAGGATATTTCCTAGAAGATTATGTAGCTCGTGGGGGGTTAACAAGGCGGCAAATTTTAATTTTGTCGTTCCAATGATTCGAAAGTTATTCAGGAAAAACCAAAAGACGGAGAAAGAACAGACAAATTTTTTTTTTGACGCTGATCATTCCTGTAGCAATGGCGATCGAAATTCGAAAGTAACAAGAATGGAATGGTGAATCTGTTTTTTTGGATGTCGTTTATTGGAGGTATATGCTACTTCAAGCACTGGTTTATCTCCGCATATTAAAACTAACTTTGCTTTCTCAGATAATACTGACTGCGTTGAAGGAGACATTTGTGATAATGTTCACTTCACATTCTCAGCTCTTTATGTCATAGATATTTTTAATAATTTGCTCTAGTATTTAAAATTATTGAAGAAAATAATAATAAACAGGAAATTATTCATTTGTTTCGATCAAAAAACTCTTTTTTCATCTTGGTAGGCCCTGTTTTGGTTAGTCATTAGGCTAAACAACTTCTCTTAACAACATTTTGCTCAACTTTTCGAAATAAATATACTTTCCATTTGTGCTATTTTTCGATTTTTTGTTCGATTCTGTATGCTGTTTGACTGGCAAATATTTTAAGTGCACCTAATATGATTGCACACTAAAATGACCACACTGTATGAGCAGGTACAGAGTAGAATACGAACTATTTTTAATTAAAATGTGAAGAAGCCAAAAGGATAATTGACGAGATGTCAACAACTTCGATTTATAAACATCCGATGCACGGTGGGCCAGGCAGAGCCCACACTATTAAAATGAACCCATAATACATTTCGACAATGAACGTTTTCCTCATCATGTTTTGTTTATACAGTTTTCAGTGTGAAAGGTGGAGGGGATTTTTTTACACAAATTAGCTTTTGACAAAATTCAAAATGCAGGAAGCGTAAAGGTAAGTTTTGAGATTAATTTCATGCTAAGTAAATTACTGTAAAAGGCAATTGTCCTTAAAAAAATTCTACATTCTTTTGAGTCATATTAAAAAAATAAGCATAATTTAAATATTAAAGTAACATGTTGTGGTGCACCATTTCATAAAAATAATTTTTAAAGAACTTAGCGGGTATATAGATTTGATTCATGTAAGACATTGTTATTATCTTGCGATGTTATGCTCTTTTGACACTAAGACTATCTATAAATCAAAACGCTCTTATTACAAAGCAATGGTTTAGCTTTTTTAGAGCTATCACTAATGCAAAAATTGTAACAAAAACAAAGCAAAGTGTTTGACTAGTTATATGCCCCGAACTGCAGATGAAGTCCAAAGCTAAGTAAAGATAACGGCTCGCCGACATCGCATCAAAAGCCCTATTTATTCGATTGTCGCATTGTAAAATACGAGCCTAATTATTCCAGTCTTTGTATCGGCTAGTCCAAATAAAACTTTATTTTGTTTTCTGTATAAATAAATATTTTTAAAAACGCTCTGTCGAATTTTGAACATTTAAGTACTTTAGATGTATAAAAACCCTGTTGTTGTTTTATTTCGTATCTTTCAAGCAAACAAACGTAAATAAATTAAAAAATCCGAAAATAATATTTTATTTTAATCTATATTATATAAATAACTTTTTTTTTATTAAATTGTTACTTTTGGGACACTCTGTATCATTATTTTTTATTTACTTAAATATAATTATTTCAAAATGTTTCTACATTTTGTGTAGTGTTATCAAACCGTTTTAATTAAAAACTGCTTTTTTTTCAACAGCTTGTATAATAATTATATTGAATTAAAGTTTGATTTTTTCTTTTTATTGATGTGTTTTTATTAATACTAAGTAAAATTTACTGCCATTACAAAAAAAAAACGAATTAGTCTAACACCTAGGGTTTCCCTGGCCCACTGTGCGACTCAGGAGGAATCCAGAAGATTTGTAAATAGAATTCAATTGAATTTTTTCGTTGTTCTTACTTGGCCGCTATGGTGTGCGGGATATCTAGCTTCCAGACGCTTCTCGTCGTCGCTGTCCACCAAGGACAGCTCGTCGGAGAAGTCGTCTTCGTCGGACAGCGAATCGAGCTCTTGGTGGTGAATCGTTTTGACGTTTGGCGAAACCGCTTCGAGCTCCGTGTGATCTCCATCGCCGGACCAGTCCATGACGTCCTCGGACGTCGAAGAAGAGCGACAAATGACCATCGGCTGCATGACATATTATCTCAGTTCGTCAGGTCTTCTTTAACGAGCTCTTAATAATAGACGTTTGTTTAGTAAACCACGTCTTCAAAGGTTTTTACCAAATGGGAATATTTATAATTTATAATTAACTAACAAGGAAATAAATTGGAACAAGAATATTTGTATATTGGAAATATTAATAATAGTGTTTGTTTATACCTTAAATACAAAAAAAAATCACACAAAGGCAACGAGGTATCAAACTGTAAAAAAAGATATTCCCAAGAATTAGAATAAAAATCATTAAGTATATCGGCCAATAGAAAATGTTGGAAATTATTTTTGAGGAGAGGACGTCATTACCCCATTGTATTTTAAATTATGTTTTCTGTAAAATGTTTCTATATTAATGATGCTTAATGTGAACACTGTTTTAAAGCTGAGACAAATTCAAATATCTTTTGTTAGATTCTTTTTACTTTATCTCTAAAAGGAAAGTGGAAAGGTGGTTAATAAACTTGGGGTCATTAAAAAGCGCTTTTCCCTGTCTATCAAACGTATGGGTGATATGATTGCACACCCTGTCACCAACAAAATAATAATTTTATGAAAAAAAAATGTAACGATATGAATTTTTTTATGTCTTTATCCTAACCTAAATATGAATTTAAAACTCAAAAGAAGAAAAATTTTGATAAGCCTCTTCACTCTAGGAGCTGTTATTGAAATAAAAGTTGCTTATTTATTTCCGTCATACAATACCATAGATATTATTACTACTTGTGATAATGAATTACATCCGGCTATTTTAGAAACTGATTTGCATAGGAGATTACACTAGTGTAATTGACTAAATTTTATGGTAAATGAAGATCCCAATTTTTTATCTCCAATAGTAGGAACCCATGAAGCTACTTTTGGTCGTCAGTGAAGCCTCATTGGATTTGTGAAGTGAATTATCAACACCGATGGAATCATAGCACTATATTTCTTTAATGTTAAGTTAATGGCCGAAATATTTGTAACCCTTGAACTAATGAGTACTTTAATAGTTTTGGATTTTTAGAAGGCATTTGATACGGTGAAACATAACCTGTTGATTTCCAAGCCGAATTTCTATGGTTTTCCGTCTAATTCACGCGAGATCATTAAATCGTATTTTTCAAATCGTTATTAGAAAGTATACTGTGACAGCAAATATTCGAACGAAATTGAAATTTTCTTTGGGGTGCCGCAAGGTTCCATTTTGGGACCCTTATTTTTTTTAATTTACATCACTGACATTTTAAAATCTTTAAATTTTTGCAAACTTTTGCAATTGTATTGCTGTTTTGATTTTAATAGTAGCATGGATGCCGAGGTATTTATAAATCAAGATATTAACAGGATTAGCGAACTTTCTCGTACCCATAATTTAAAGCTAAACCCAACAAAATCGCATTTAATGATATTTGGAAATAAAAATAAAGTTAAGCCTTAAACAAAATATTAAACTTTCCGTTGTCGATTCAGTAAAAAATTTGGGGGTGGTCATAGATTGTGATCTAAGATTTCGTGAATATTTACAAAATATCTTTCAAAAAGCATATTTCTCACTGAAAATCTTATATAGTAAACATAGTAACAATATGTGAGTCACTTGTTCTCTCACGTTTTAACTACTGTGATGTAGTGTATGTTTTTTTTATTGATAACGAGTGTAAGTGCCGTATTCAAAGGTTGTAGAATGCTTGTGTTCGTTTTATTATGGGTCTTCGAAAATATGACCATGTATCTGCTGCATTTCTTCAACCTAATTAGCTTAAAACAAAGAAGAGCTTTTCATTTCAACGTATTCGTTATGAAAATTATCCATCACCCCGATTCACCCACTTTACTGAGAGAGCGGCTTACTCCTAGGGAATACTATCCATTCTGTGAATGTAAGATACAGGTACAGACTAACGATGCCACATTATCAGAGTGCTTTGTTTAGTAGATTTTTCACATTCAACGCAATTTATGTTTATAATTCTTTGTTACAGGAATTCAGTAACTTAAATTTATATTCATTTAAAAAAAGGTACATAGATCATTTGTTATCAAATACTACCTCTGAAAATATGGTTGATCGTATCTTCAATGTTGTAGCCCATGCTGCATAGAAAATGACGGGAGGCACTTTGAATATTTATAAAGACCTTTGATTTTCTTTTCAATTTTGTTGTATTTTATCATCATCAATGTTTAATTTTGATAATGTTCGGACAGCGGTATTAGTTTATGAGCGTTGCATTATGTCAACATAAAGAAAATGAGATGCGTTTTTCCAAAAAAATATTTTTTTTTATTATGTTGGCGCCATCTGGTGACGGCGTATTCAAACGCAACCGTCTCACTCATAGCACATTTAATAGTCTAGGAAACGTCTTTTTTGACAACTCCAAATTTGTTAAAATCCACTATGCAAATTTTCTTTTAGAAATAGAGTAAAAAATATATAAGAAATTTTTGTAGAAATCAGATTTTTAAAGTCAAGATGGCAATTAAGCCCTCTGGTGACAATTTCAGAAGCTCAAAAATAAATTATAGCATTTTCTCATGACTGATTTACTTAGTAGCTTTTTTTTCAAATATTCAGGAATATCCATTTGCCCAATACCGTACCTCGTTGTCCTTACTGGGACACCCGATATAAATGCATGTGCGTAGAGTTTTTCAGAAGACGCAAAATCAGTGCGTATGCGCCTAAAATTTAAAAAAGTAAAAAAAAAAGTGAAACAATATTTTAGAAATCAAAATCAATAAAAATCTACTATAATTTAAAGGGTTTAAATATCCGAAAAAAACAAAGAATAAGATGTTCACGAGATCAGTAGACACGCACGTCATGTAGCAGCAAGTTATCTTAAATATTTTATATTCGCCAGATCTTTGAAGATTTTTCTGCTACTTTCAAGTATCCAACTCTCAGCAGCTAATTTAATTTTTAAATGTACTTATAACAGCAAATAACTACTTCTACGCTGGTCAATTTTCTTTAAACATGTCAGTCTAGTAGTTGTATTCCACATACAACCATCTTTAAAAGAAACGGCCACATTGACGAAAATTCCAACATCAACTGTATGGAAAATTGTGAATAATCCCATTTCAGCGAGGACATTTTCTCGAGTGTAGATGAAAGTGATCAAGATATAATATGGCGTAAAATTTACCAGTTATACGAGAAACAAAGCGTGCCTACATTAGATATCTTAATTAGGAGGCTTGAAAAAGATGAAACCGGTGTTAAATGTGGCAGAACTACACCGTATGGAAGTGTATTCAACACATCGGTTTTAGATTTTAAACAATTGAATTCGCAAACGGCGACTGGAATATCTAGAAAAAAATAGGATTTACAGAGAACAACAAAGGGCAATTATTTACTTGGATGAAACCTGATTGGACACTAATGATACTCCGGAAAAGGATTGGGTTGACTCAACTGATAAGTGTAAAACAAACACGCCATCAAAAAGAGGTAAAAGAATAACTATTTTGCATGCTGGCTCTAAAGATGGTTGGACCCCAAATGGACTTTCTCTGTCTACGAAAAATATTAAAGATTCTTCTCTGGATTACCATGAAGACAACACCCCTGATTTATTTGAAAGTTGGTTTAAAAACAAACTAGTTCCAAACATTCTTCCTAATAGCGTAATTGTAATGCCCAATGCAAGTTATCACAGTAGACCGTTGACTAAAACCCCTTCCTCATGTGACATAAAAGCAACAATCCAAAACTAGATGTATAATAACGATATTTATTTTCACGAAGAATTCTAGGGCATACAGTTTTAAGGCTTCCTTCCACCTTACCACTGTATATTTAATCTCATTGAACATGTTTGGTACCAACTGAAATCTGCTATTCGTCATAACAATGTTTTTCCCAGTGTTAACTCCAATGTCCTCAAACTTATAGAAACCGAAGTTTTTGACATCCCTCCACAAAGTTGGGCAAATTCTGTTAAACATATAGAAAAAGCATATTGCAAATAATATAGAACAAATAATAATTCGAACAGGCGATGATAACAAAAGTGATGATATATTATGTGAATAATTTTAAGTAATTTACGTAAGTAATAAAAATAATTCGAAATTTTATTTTAGATTTAAACATAAATACATACATATATAAATATAGTATATATCCTAACAAAACCCCAAATAATTAAATTCTAAGCGAAGTACGGACCTGTTCGACCATATTTCATTCTTACAGCTTGCCCGAGTCTTCCCTTAATTCGTATCAGTTAATCACTTTCTTATATCTATGAACAGACTTTACTTCTGAACAGCGCCCTACCAAACTTTGTGGAAAAGCTCTACCCAAATATTCTACCCTGCGAAACTGGGATTCATATCGCGCCCCGGAAAATTCTGGGAATATACAACACCATTAAATGGTGCCTAGTCACTGAATAAATTTCTGCTCGAAAAGAACATGTCGTCTTTAAATTGCCCTTGAAATTAAGCACAGAACGCGAAAAGCGATTCCATATCTCCAAGTTTTTTGGAAAAATGGTTTCGCATAAATGATGACGGTTGCACCCCCTGCCGAACATTTCGAAAATTTGAAAACTCGTTCCAAAAATTTGAAAATAAGTGCCAATACTTTCTGTTGCTCACAAATCTTTACGACCCTTAATTTTGAAGACATAGCCGACGTCATTTATCAGTTTTAAATTCGGTAGTTTTTGAAACCACCCTGTATGTCCAACATATGCAAATTTAATTTAAACCAATCCGCTTTTGATATTACTTTATAATTGTGCACTTTAATATAAATTTAAGCATCTGCGCATCCATATTATAGATGAATCAAACATTCTGTTCAGTACTTGACCAACTTTAAGTATCCACTAAATTTTTTATACTAAAAAATATATCAATTTTTAACTTGTGCAATCTCACGGATCGCAAAAATGGTCAAATATTATTCACTATAAAAAGTAACCCGGATATAAGTGCTCGGGTCACAAAAATCAAAGTTA